GAGAATCTAGTCCCCAAACCATCTCCTCATCTCTGTCATTGGAATTCTTCCATGCAACAAGTCAAGTCCCTGGTGCCAGAGAGGTTGGGGACCACTCGTAGAATCTAGGAGACAATGAGGAAAGAGCACTGGACTAGGACCAAACACCCGAGTCCTTGCTCTACACTGCTATTTGCTCTTTCCCAAGGGAACATCATATAGTTTTAGACCCATCTATTTTACGGGGGATGCCTGTAGTCTGCCAGATGACCGCTGAACCTGCAGTTTTGTAACTCACCATTCCCACTCTCTTTGGGCCCTGGCATTTGTCAAATGGATGCCTTGAAGCAGGTACTGTTCTTCTTTGAGTTTCCCGTCTCTCTTCTTTGACCGCTCTGTACCTCAAAGAGCACAGGAGAGTAAAGAAGCCAGCTTCTAGTGAGGGGATGCTATACAGATGGCGCTCATCCACCCACTCCTCTGTTACAAACATTTACCAAGTGCCTTCAGTGTCTCCTTAGTCTGTGCTCAATAACTTTGACTGGTAGAAGAAATATGCTCAACAATATTACTTTTGTTTTTGAGACAGGGTGTTTCTGTGTAGTCCAGGATGGTCTCAGACTCACAGCAATCCTCGTCTCTGCCTCCTGAGTGCTGGCATTATGGATGTATACCCCCCCAATGCCTAGTTTCAACTCTATTTCCATTATAGTGTAGATTTCAAAGATTGAGAAGCCGTGGCCTCAAGGAGCTTACAGCACTGAGTTCAACATGAAGCAAGCCTCCAATACATAATCAGGATACTGGAGAGAAAGTTAGAGATGGCATAATAATAATAGCAAACCGGGGCTGGTGAGATGGCTCAGTGGTCTAAAGCACCTACTTAGAGCAAGCTTGGCAAAGCACAGGGACTGTGGTTCGATCCCCCAGCACCACATGCCAGCCAGCCCCGCCCCCTGGTGGGCTGGGCTGGCCACACACACAAATAAATAAAATTTAAAAAAATAATAATAGCAAACATTTACTGAGCACGTACTAGGTCCTCGATTCTCATGGCAGCCCCATGTGGGTATCTAATGATTTACTCCTGTGTAGAGGAGGAAGCAGAAAGTTTAGAAGCTGGCCCAGGACCACACAGCGCCAGACAGGCTCGCATTAGAACCGACTCGGTGCTGCTCCAGGAGACCCTCTCCAGAAGCTCCGTCACATTGCTGCCCCAGAGTCTCCTCCCAGCTTTGCCAAGTCGTTCCCCCACACTGCCTGAGTTAGGAAAATAGGAGAAACAGCAACCTAGTCTCTCCTTGGAGACCTCGTTTCATTGGATCTAGAGGGCACCTAGGTAGTCACATTTTTCAAGGTCCCCAGTGATCCCAATGTGCAGCCAGGGTTGAAAACCACTGGGCCAACCGATTCATGCCCAGCAGTATCAACTGGCTTGCCAACTAGTAAACATCTGTGCCTTGAGAGAAAAGGTTAAGATGAGAGTATGCCCTTCCGATGAGTACTGCACAAATCTTTGGGAGAATGAATTCTGGGGTGGCAGGTTTGGTGGGAGGGAGCCCTGGAACAGTGAGCTAGCAAGAGCAGCAGGTGCTGGCTATAATCTGTGACCCTATTTCACAGGTCTGCCTTAGTCCTCTTTTGCTGCAAAAGATTCCAACCAGTGGGAACGACCCTTCTTGAGCAAGTTCCAAGACAGGTGGAGAAAATGTTACAAAAGACAGCTTCAGAGTATTAGCACAGCAGCAGAGCAGGGCTTGCAAATAAGTGGAGGCAAGCTGAGTCCCCAGGACCACAGACTCACCAGGATAAGCTTTAGGGAAGATGACTTTGAGCCTGATCTACAAAGCTGAGTGCAGTGCAGCTGGAAGAGCAAAGAGGAATGGCACCTCCAGTGTGAATGTGAAGAATGAGACGTGTGAATGTGTGAGGAGGTAAAGTAAGGTGAGCATCGGGCCAGGAGATGAGGAGAAAGCTGGCCACTGCAGGTCATAAAGGCTCTGCCAGGGAGCTTGGCTTTGCTGTGGTCTGCTTCACAGTCCACTCTAGGACACCACTGAAAGGGAGACAAAGGAAGAACTGGGGGCCCAGAGAGCCTCATCATGGCTCTTGTCCAGCACAGACAGTTGTGAGCTGGCCCCAGAAGAGGTACTTCTATGTCTCTAGGTCCGAGTTTAAGCGCCTGCCTGGCAAGCACAAGGTCCTGAGTTTGATCACTGGTTAAAAAAAAAAAAAAAAAATGAAACTCCTAGAGCAGTGCTGTCCAGTAGAACTTTATGTGATGTTTCATGTTTGTGCTGTCCTCCATGGTGGCCACTGGCTTGTGGCTAGTGCAGCTGAGGAGCTGAATTTTAAGTCACTTAGCCACTTGGGACAAGCAGCTGTCATAGCAGACAGGCTGGTTCCAGAACAACTGCTGTCTGAACCAGTGGTTTTATACTTATTGTCTCAAGGTTCTTGCACTGAGAACTTCCGGTCTATCAGACACTTCATGAAGTACTTCATAAATTAATCTCATCAACTTCTCACAACCTGTCATGAGGAGGTATCACTGCCCCCATTTTAAAAAGGAGATAAAAAATAAGAAAGCCTTTCCCAGAGAGCAGTAGAACTGAATGGTTTCAGTGTTTATGATCTTTCTGTGGTAGTACTTTCCTAGGTTCTGTTTTCTCCTCATCAGTTGGACAAACTGATTCTCAAGTAGAGAATGTGCAAAGTCCCCTCCTGCCCTTGCAAGAACCAGCATTCTGGACTCCTCCATTCTCTCACTTGTGAATGGCTTCCCAGGGTGGCTGGCAGGCAGACATCCTAACTGTAGAGCCTGACTGAGGTGGACAGTGAGGGTGGGTGGGCTCCCAGCACTTAGAATCACTGGGCATGGTGGATGCAGAGTAGAAGAGAGTTGAATGCAAGCTGAGTAAAACCCCAGAAGTTTTAAGGTCTTTGAGGGTGCTCTTCCAGATTTTAGTTTTCTTCTTAGCTCTAGGATACTTCAGATCTGCCCCCTTATTACTCCTTTCTTTTTTCTCCCCTAAGCACTCCTGGAAAGGACAGGTGATTGCTTGAAGCTATGGCTCATCAGTTTCTGTAAACTGGAGAGATTCCTGGTCTGTCCATCCACTGACTCTAAAAATCTCAAGCACCTTAAGGATCTGGATTCAGTAGATCTGCAATTAGGCAAAACCTAAGTAGTTTTGAAGCCCATGGTTCATAGCTGGAAGTCAGACTGTCTTGGTGTCAAATCCCATTTCTTACTGGCAGGCTGCTAATTATGTACTATTTGGTTTTAGAGTTCACAGGTAGAAATGATCTCTTCTTTCTTGGATTTTCCCTGTATACATTTTCTCAAACTTGGCTGCACATTTGAGTTGCCTGGTATCTTTAGAGAAATACTTCCCACCAGGCTCCAGTCCCAAGTCTGCAGGCTGAGGCATGGTTCGGGGAGCTGACTTGACTTGGATGCACAGCCAGGGCAGAGGCATACACTGCACCTGTTTCATGGTATTCATCTGTCCTTTTGGCTGGGCTGAGTCATCTGTGAGCCTCCACAGTACCCAGGATAACACCTACTATGAACACATTCAGAAAAGCATGCTCAATTAAATGAAAGAGGCTGGCCAAATAGCTATCGGAGCAGATGCAGTGGCCTGGGGTTCAATCCCCTGGGCTTGCCATGCCAGCTCTGTCCCTGGGGCGTGCTGAGACGGCAATTGAGACTGGGTATGGTGGTATACGCCTGTAATCCCAGCTCTTGGGAGGCTGTAAACAGGCGGATCACTGCAAGTCCAATCTAATAGTGAGACCCTGAACACCCTGTAGACCTCTCCCTAAAATAAAAAAAAAAAAACCAAAACTTAGTCAATTAAATGAAAAGAGTCTCTCCTATTGCACCTTGGCTTTACGGGCACTATCGCATTGCCAGAGGTTGGAAAATAATTTGTCAAAGACTTCTAAATCATCCTCATTTTTGTGAGATCTTCCTTTAATCTTCCTTTATCATAGTTCTGTGTGTGGTGCCTGCTGTGAGACAGCACACTTGAGGTTAGTGCAAAAGATTAAGGGTAGTAGATGGATCTGGAGGGGTAAGAGGGCTGCATTTACCAACCAGGCTTCAGGTTGCTGTTGCTATACTCGGCCAGGTCCAGATCCTCTGCTGCTGCTGACAGTGCAGAGGCCAGAGACAATCTTCCAGGTTGAAACTTCCTTCCTCTCTAAAACTTGCTGCCATGGGTAGACAAGTGGGAGCAGGCTTGGTATGAAGCAGAATCATGAGGCAGATGAGGATCCCTCAGATGCCATCTCCTTTCCTTCATCAGTGACCACTGGACATTTTGACTTTCCCAGAGACTGCTGTCCCTGTGCCTTTTGTCATTCCCTTCCTGCTAAGCCTGCTCCTAAGAAAAGTAAACCAATTCACACTAGGTTAACTATTCCTAATTATGTTAAGTGTCTAAGAGTTTTTTGTCAGTCTTTCAATGTAAGAGGAGTATTTCAAATGACAGGGTGGATTGTCACTGTGGATTAGGTATTTTTGAAGGCAGCACAGAGTTCCTGAAGCTATGGCATCTTCCTGCTCTGAAATCTGAGGGGTATGGGAGAACACATCCAGAAAGGGTGTGGGCTCTGTCTTCAAGAAGAGGGGGAGGGGCTGCCGGGATGGCTCAGTGGTCTAAAGCACCTACTTGGAACAAGCTTGGCAAAGCACAGGGACTGCGGTTCGATCCCCAGCACCACATGCCAGCCAGTCCCACCCCCTGGTGGGCTGAGCTGGCCACACACACACACACACACACACACACACACAATAAATAGGTAAATAAATGTTTAAAAAAAAAAAAAAGAAGAAGAGGGGGAGCTGGGGAGATAGCTCAGTAGACTAAGTGCTTGCCTGGCAAGCACAGGGTCCTGAGTCCAATCCCTGGTACTGCAAAAAAAAAAAAAAAAAAAAGGATTTTTGCTCTTCGCAAACCCACCTTCAAAATACCCTCAGGGTCTCATGTGTCTCCCTCTGTCCCTGCCAGATGTGGATGAGTGTGTAGAGGGGACTGACAACTGCCATATCGATGCTATCTGCCAGAATACCCCTCGGTCATACAAGTGCATCTGCAAGTCTGGCTATACAGGAGACGGCAAGCACTGCAAAGGTGAGGCTGGGAGGGCATCCAGAGAAGCAGGACCTCTGGGAGTGGAGAAACTAGTATCATTGGCCCCAGCTGGCCACCTTTGGGCCTGAGGCCCCAACTGAGCAAGGGTGGGGGCCTATGTCGTCCCAGAGAGGGCCTGTTCTATCATGCACCAAAACAATATATGGGCCTACACAGGCCCCGGTAGAAAGAGTTCACAGCCACACACCTGACTGGGTGGAGGAGGTGGGATCATGTCAGGAGGCCTGAGATTCTTGGAGTTAGAAAGCCCACCTTGAGACCCTGTACTATACCCACAAAGACAGGAACAGACTGTGTACCCCAGGGCAAATTCACACTGGAAACAAACACATCTTCCTCTCATTATTAAGATAAACTAGAATAGCCTTGGGATATTATTTTAAATTTATTGCTTTCAGTGGACAAGGTGTATGTATTAAGTCCTGATCACCATTAGGCATTGGAAAATATAATTGTTCCTCAGTAGCTGACTGATACTGATTCTAAGACCCTACAAGGGTACCACAATTCAAGGATGTCAAGTCCCTTATGTAAAATGTCATAGTTATTTACATGAAATCCACATGTTCCTCCTGTATACTTTAAATCATTTCTAGATTACTTGTGAGACCTTTTACATTGTGAATGCTATGTAAATAAATAGTTGTTATATCACGTTGCTTAGGAAATAGTGATCAAAAACTTTACCAATAGAATTCTTTTCTTTGACTATTTTTAATCCATGTTGATTGGTTGTTTATTTTTGCGGTACCTGGGATCAAACTCGGGACCTTGCACTTGCTAGGCAGGCACTTAAGCCGCTGAGCTATCTCCCCAGCCCTTTTAATCCACATTGGTTGACTCTGTGGATGTGGAACCTATGACTGTGAAAGGCTGACCACTGAGCAGTAATTTCAAAAGGTATTTATAACTTTTGATTCAAGGATTGCTTTTGGGGTATTTCAAAGAAAATTCAGTGAAACAATATGAGTAGCAGTGTTCTTTGATACACTAATGATTAAGTGAGTGAAAAAAATCTTAAGTGCTAAACAACAGAGATAAAGGACTAACATTCTAACATAGCAACACAATGGAATATTTTGTGGTCATGGACAGTGGTAATTAGACTGAACAGAGACATAAAAAAAAGCTTATGATTTAGGTTTAGATGAAAATTAGCAATCTGAAGGCCAGACTGATAGCTCAGTGGACTAAAGCACCTGCTTAGGCAGAGCGCAGCAGCTGGGGTTTGATTCCTGTGGGGGCATGCTGAGATGGCAATTGAGACTAGGCATGGTGGTGTGTGCCTGCAATCCCAGCACTTGGGAGGCTGAAAACAGGAGAATCACTGAGTTCAATCTACGTAGTGAGACCCTGTAGACCCTGTCCTAAATACAGGGGGAAAAAAAGAAAATTAGCTATCTGGGTGTGCTGGCCTAAACCTGTAATCCCTGCATTCAGGAGGCTGAGGCAGGAAAATAATGGGGATTAAACCCAGGGCCTCCATACTAAGCTACATTTCCAATCTTTTTTACTTTGAGAAAGTAAAAGTGAGTGGTCTCACCAAGTCACTAAGGTACACAAGGCTGGCCTCAAACTTGTAATCCTCCTTCCAAAATTCTGAGATAATCATGCACCACCATATTGGCAATATATTTTTATAAAGTAATGACAAGGAGCCAGTGGTGTGGCTCAGTGATACAGTTCTCACCTAGCACACACAGGCCCTGGGTTCATTCCCAACACTATAAAAAAACAAACAAACCCACCACAAGGCTGAGTCCAGGGATGGTCAGTAAGGACATACAGGTGAATATGGCTGTCTAAGCTTCTCTGTGCCCACAGACGTGGATGAGTGCGAGCGAGAGGACAATGCAGGCTGTGTGCACGACTGTGTCAACATCCCTGGTAACTACCGATGCACCTGCTATGATGGATTCCACCTGGCACATGATGGACACAACTGTCTGGGTGAGCAAGAGGGCTCGGTAGAAGATATCTTGTAGGGAAACAGGTGTTTTCAGGAGAAGAAGTGATAAATTTGCTGCATTCCTTGAAGAGAGGAAGAGGGTCAGCTTCCTCTTTGGGACTGGCCACTAAGGATGCAATAGTCCTGCTGCTGAGTAAGGAAAATCAGAGGAAATGCTGCTAGGAAGTTTTCCTGGGAGTAGGCTGGGAGATAAAGGTAAGGGTTGGCCAGAGTGGGTAAAGCACAGTGGGTCCAGATAGATGCCAGCTCCATAGCTGATTGTGGGGCCTTGGGCAAATGAGTCTCTGGGACACTCACCACCATCATCTCTAAAATGGGAGCAGTGATTCTCCATTCCAAGGCTGCCGGGCAGCTTGTCAGGAGAAAACATGTGTAAGAGCCCTGGATAGTCCTGGGTCCACAGAAGTCCTCAAAAAAGGGAGGACGGATGTTGCTGAAGATGATGATGGCCCTTGGCACCCTGGTCCTGACAGGCAAGTTTTCTCCTGACTTCTCCACCACTGTCTCACCTTCTTCTTGCTGTTGAGGCCTCAATCGGACTTGATCTGCTTTGTCCCAGGAGCTGGATCAGAATCAGAATCAGAATCTCTAGGGAAATTAACTGAACTTTGGTCTCTGTTTTTTTTTTTTTTTTTTTTGTCTCTGTCATTTTGAAAATTTATAGGGACCGAGGAGATGGCTCAAGAGGCCGGGGAGATGGCTCAATAGAATAAGTGCTTGTCTGGCAAGTGCAAGGGCCTAGTTCAATCCCCAGTTCTGCCAAAAAAGAAAAAAGAAGAAAGAAAATTTACTGATACCAAACTAGATCCTTCCTCAAGTAGAACATCTGAAGCCCACAGCAGAAAAGGATCTGAGATCTGAACCCATGGGTCCTTTCCCAAACACTCTTCTCTTTGGTTCCAAAACAGAAATAGGGATGGAAGCACAGAACAGGAAAAAAAAGCAAAGCAAAGTGATACCTAGAAAAGTGGGCTGTGGTAGGCCCCACTCTGACCTGACTGAATTTAGGTGCGTAGTTCCTGCTGACCTCAAAGGCCTCCTGACTGCAGAGCTTCCTTTACTTGTCACCCCATCCTTGGGCTAGCTTTAGTTTTCTCTTCATACCCTAGGCCCCCAGACCTTGGTCCAGCCCTGGCCACCACTCCAACTACCCATGCAGGGCCTTCTTTCTTCTCTACTCAGTCAGCCCTAAGGACCTCCTTTGGAAAGAGAAGTTGTGACACCTGGAGAGGAGAATGAGTTGCCTACAGAATGTGAACACTAGTTTCTGAGGGCTTTGCTTCACTTTCTAAACCCCTGACCCTCACCAGTTCTCTTCTCCCTGTAACTGTTTTGGGAAGAACCAATTAGAGGAACAAGAAAATGACTAGTATGGAGAGGGCTGGAGAAGTCAGTGTCTGTCTAGGTTCATGGCAGGCTCAGCCTTAACTTGAACTCAGGAGAATCCTGAGAAAGCTGATCATGCTATGAGCCTCAGTTTCCCTACAAAAAGTTGAAGAACTTAGTTACGGTAACAAAGCCAAAAGACTGGAAAGGAAGTAAATAGGATAGAATGTAGGATGGGGCAAGAGCAAGAAGAGAACAAGATGGGAAAAAGGTGGGGCAGAGACAAGGACAAAGAAAGTGTACTATCTTAGCTTTGCCAACAGGTGCTTCTCTAGCCCATAGCCAGCTGGATGACGAGTGTCTTTGCCCTCAGCCAGAAGAGGAAGGGAGAGTACAGAGCCTCAGCAGAGGACAGAAAGGGAGGGACAAGAGAGCCTTTGGAAGCCCAGATTCCAGCTGCTCCTTGTGCTCGCTAATCTCCTTGATTCCTCCTGGCCCAAGGTGCACTGCGAAGCTTGCAGAGAGATGGAGTCAAGGTCTTGACCAGGAGTGGGAGCCCCAGGATGAGCCTGGTTCTGGGATATGGGGGTAGTGATTTGGGGGTAAGAGTCTACTGCTCCACCTCACCATCTAGGGTGTGTCCTGGCAGCTCTTCCTCCACCCCTTCTTGCCAAGCTGCCAGAATTTGTTTTGTTAAACCAAAATAGGAGAAAGTCTAAGGAATATGGCAGCAAGCCCAGGCGTGGGGGGAAGGGACAGACAAGGCTGTGGCCTGTCCACAGAAATGGTCCTGACCCCACAAGGAGTGGAGGTTCATTACCTCGCCCCACTGTGCTCAACCTCAGCACTACAGCTATAGCTTACCTGGAACACAAAACCATTTCCAGGTTTCCTGGCTATTTATCACAGTCAGTTGCTTTCCTGGTCACCTCCCTGACCAGGGTGACCACTTGCCATCCCTTTCTTTGTCACTGGTCTTCTTCTATGGCTCCTTTCCTGACCTCTGCCCTCAGTGAGAGAAAGGAAGTGTGACTTCACCCAGGAAAGCAGAGTCCAAACCCAACCATGCACTCACTGGCTTGTTTCCCTAGCTTGTTCTCAGTTCAGTATGGACAAGGGGGTAAGAACTTTCTGGCGTAGGTGAGGGGTGGGGTTGTGTCATCAGTACTCCTTCAGCCTTTGCTGCTGAAGTCCAGGGCACACCCTGGACCCTGGCCTGTACTCCAGGGCCCCACTGATCACCTGTCCTGCACAGATGTGGACGAATGCGCCGAGGGCAATGGTGGCTGTCAGCAGAGTTGTGTCAACATGATGGGCAGCTATGAGTGCCACTGCCGAGAAGGGTTCTTCCTCAGTGACAACCAACACACCTGCATCCAGAGGCCAGAAGGTCAGCCCAATACCTGGGAGGGCCAACCCCTGCCCCTCCCCCCACCCCAGGCTCTTCTTCCTAGCTGTTTAGTACCCCCTAAATTTTACTCTTCCTTTTGAACCCAGCCAGCTCCTCTGTCTGTCGACTCAGTTGCACCCTTATAACTTCTTGGACAGACACTGTATTAGAGAAGTATGGAGAAATTAATTTGTGGGTAGGGTCAGTATGGGGAGGAGGGCTACTCTGGGATGTCCTCTCATCTAGACCTGGGCAGATGTTGTTCCTAAATGTAGATGTTTGAGTTTCTCCAAGCTGCTGCTCACGAAAGCCTCCCTTGGCCTGGACTGGGGAGTGGAGTAGGAAGAGCAGCATATTTTACCTGTAGACATGGTTCATTTCCCCACTGCACTGTGACCCCAAGGGCAGGCACTATGTCTTAATATCTCTTGTATCTCTAGCACCTAAAATACTGCTCTGTGTGGAGCGGGAGATACATAAATGTTTGTGGCAGAGTAATTATCTATACCAATTGCTTCCCACTCACATTATAGATCTTTTGTTATATGTCACATATCCAGGTGGAGTGTAAACCCTTTGAGGGAGATGAAGTAGGTCCTTCCTAAATCCTGAGTCCCTGGCACAGTGCTGGCCAGCTTTTAGACACATTGTTTGAAGGATAGAGATCTCTCATATTCTTTGGGGGTGGCTTAATGCTTATTAATACTTATTACACCCTGTTCAGAATGGCTCTGAGCTGTGTTCCTTAGCACCCAACTCTGAGGAGGAGGCAGGAGGCCTGTGACAGGGAGTCACAGTATCCTCCTTGTCATAGCACCAGTGGAATCCCCCCCAATTTCCTAAGCCTTCACTGTCCCCTTTAATTCCACCCAGAGCAGGCATCAAGGGGTACAGAACACTCATCCCTCTCCTCTACTCTTTTAGAAGGAATGAACTGCATGAACAAGAACCATGGCTGTGCCCACATTTGCCGGGAGACCCCCAAAGGGGGTATTGCCTGTGAATGCCGCCCTGGCTTTGAGCTCACCAAGAACCAACGTGACTGCAAATGTGAGATCCCTGGGCTGGTGGGGTGGGCGGGGAAGTGAATAGGAAGGGATGTGGGGCCTCAACAAGGGACGGAGGCAGGAGGGAAGAAGGGTGGGAGAGGCCACTAGAAAAGCGGGCTGTGGCCCATGTGGTGGGAAGCTGGGACCCAAGAAGAAGCAAGCTGACAGGCCTCCTGCCCTCTCTGTGCAGTGACATGCAACTACGGTAACGGTGGTTGCCAGCACACATGCGACGATACAGAGCAGGGGCCCCGATGCGGCTGCCATGTCAAGTTTGTGCTCCATACTGATGGGAAGACATGCATTGGTGGGTGAGGCAGGGGAGAACTCAGTCCATCTGTGGTGGGGGTGGAGGTGGAGGCTCCAGGGAGCTAGGGGGACCCCTGGGAACCCAAGAGCTAGACAGAGACTTGGTAAGGGCATGAAGACCCGGAAAAGGCCAGGCCTAGCAAGGGACAACTCTGAGACTCACGTGTGCATCTGACTGTCTTCCCCACTGGCTGCATCACCACCCTTCCCAGGATAAAGTGTTGCCAAACTGGGATCCTTAGCAGAGATGCTTGTTAACTGAGGCTGGGTGGAGAAGGGGCCTGACAGCAGGGAAGTCAGCTGGCAGTCTCTGCCCAGAGGCCCTGGGTGACTAGTGACTCCTCTCAGAAGGCAGCTGTCACAGCCCCGGGCCCTACTCTGAGGCTGGAGGTGGGACAGAGTGCTCTTTTCTGGAACAGTCAGCCCTGAGCTGAGAGATGGGGTATCTCAGCTCCAGGAATCTTCTGCTTTATACTTTCTCGCCTCACCCTTTCTGCAGATTCTCTGGCTCCTCCCTGGCCCTCACCCCTGCCCCTTTTCTCTTCTAGTTCCCAGTGGGCCCTCTCAGCTCCGCTTAGAGCCCTCTTTTCTCATCCACTTCAGCTTTCCCTCCCTCTTACCCTGGTTTGGGGCCCTTTTAATATCTAGATCCCTTTTCTAGAAGTCCTAGGCCACCCCTCATGTGTCCAGGTAACCTGGATGATCTTAATTCCTTAAAGCTGATTCCTAACTCCCTCCATCTTCAGTGCTGAGAAGACAGCAGGTCAAAGGGTCCCCTTAGAGAACTGAGAGATGGAAGGGAGGAGCTCTGACTGGGGTAAGATTGGGCCTTGAGCCAGGCAGAGGTGAGCTTGCTGTGGGCATAGGTGGTCATGGGGGTCGTCCCTCTGGGGGGTTCCGACAGGCTTGGGAAGGGCAGCTGTGTACACTACCCTTGCACATCAGAGGTGTGAAGAGCCAGACTCTCCCAACCCCAGGCCAGAGACCCACCTCTTTCACTGCAGACACAAGGACAGGGAGTGGACAGTGCTCTTCTGTTCCCTTGGCATACACACTTCTATGTGCTCCTGTCACTGAAATCCTCCTGCTGCACATTTTCCTCTCCATTAACTCATCAAACATCCAAACCATGTGTAGGTCTTGTTGGCCTCCCTAGCCTGGGTTGTTCTGGCTGCTTTCATTTTCTCCTCAGAGGGCTAATTCTTCTGCTTTCTAAACCTCTCATCACTGGCTGGACACATTACACATCCCCAGCAACTGCCAGAAGAAACTGCATGCAGCCCCAGAGAAAAGACGCGTGAGTCAGGACAACACTTAGGGCCCAGGGACAGGAGGCCCAAATCCCACTTGGCTTTTTTCTCTTCAGGTGGCCCTGGACATGGCTGCTCTTGGAAGCACCTGTTAAGCTTGAACACTTCTCTGACCCCAGACCTACCCTGCCATCAGGGCCATGGCCGGGGGGGCAGAAGACAGCATAGGAAGCTGTTCTAGGGTTCACAGCTATGTTCTTTCCTGGTTCCTCTTCCTCTGACAGTAGAACTTAGCATACCTGCCCTGTACTGGACTTGCTAGGAAGAAACTTCATTGTTTGGGGCCACCAGGATACTCAGATGTAGGGGACTAATGGGGGGACAGTTGCACAGTTTTAAAGGCTGGGGACTTGGCTGTTTGTAAGACTTGATGCTGTGTGCCATCTCTGCCTTTGGCATGCTGTGTGGTCTTGGGCCCACACTGCTTCTCTCTGAGACTCACTTTTTCGGTCACTTGCTGGAACCTTGCCTTCTTTGAAGATTCCAAGCAGACCGGCTGAGGAGTGAGGGGATCTTAAGATTTCCTGGGCTCACCATTTGGTGCCAGTGGTTTGGGCCTGCAGGGTGGAGGAGTGGGTGGGAGGGGTCCAATGGACGCAGTGGCTCCTGCCCAGCATCTAAACAGCTTTTTTACGATGTCAAACAGGGGAAAGGCGGCTAGAGCAGCACATCCCCACTCAGGCCGTTTCTAATGGTAAATATGTCTGCTCTCTCCGCTTGCTCTCACTGGCTTGCTAGGGGAAGGGCTAACTCGCTGAGGCTCCCACTAACTGCATGCCCATCAAGCCCAGCCCAACTGGGCCCCAGCCTGTCAGGGCTCCTCTGGCAGCCTGGGCACTGGGCCCACCAGGTGACAGGAAAACTGAGTCCCCAGGAGCTGGCCTGGGAGCCTTCATGTTGGTCTTGTCTTCCTTTGCCCTGTCAGTGTCTTCTGTCTTTCCAGTTCTGCTCCTTCCTCCCCTCTCTGCAGTACACAATTAAAACCCAGCGAGCTCCATCCTCTCATCATGCCTGCTATGCTAGTTGAGATAGAGGTTCAATGGCATCCCCTCCTTGGGGATCTTGGGTTCTCACCTGCATCAGTCTCAGTCCAAACACCCCTTGCCATTCTCTGCTCCCTCATGGTTCAGATCGTGGCATTTGCATTCAGACAGACCTGAACTTGAATCCTGGCTCCACCCCTTCTAACCACATGACCTCAGGTCTTTGCTGATCTGAATTCATTCTTCTGTAAAGTGAGAGAAAGGATAGTCCTTGAGGGGCTATGGTGATGGGAATAGCACACATGCATCTAGGGAATGCCAGACACTGTTAGCTCAGGGCAACTTGTGGTTTTGATTCTGCCACCTGGAGAGCCAAGAGTAAGGCTGTGCCACCCTGCCAACCCTCTTTGCTCAGAACAATGCTGTCCAGCAGAAGTGGGCCACACTGCCCAGCTTCCTGGTCCAGCTGGGGTGGGCACCTGCTGCCTTGCATCCTGGACCCTTCAGAAGCCACCTAGATGTGGCACACAGGATCTCTGTGCTCCACCCTCTGCTCCAGTACCTCATGGGTCTCTTAGAACACTATAGGGAAGCTGGGCTGGGTCTTAAGGTTCCTCTAGGTTCCTCTTGGCCTTGGGAGCCCTGAGAAAGGATGAGGGAGAATGATGTGGAGGATCTCACACTGGCTGCTCCTGAGCCTGGCCACTTGAGGGACCAGGATGTGGCAGGGGCCCACAGACAAGAGCCAGGCTTCTTCTGGAGCCCAGGCCCTGCTCTTCAAATTGGTGACAAGGCTGGGGCTTGTTAAGATTAAAGGTAACAGCACCATCCTGTGCTTTTTTCATCTGTACCCCCAATTCTATGAACCACTCTCCGCTTCTCTTTCCTTGCAGATGCCTTGGGATTTTTCTCTCTCTAAAGGGGAAGACTCTAAGCATCCTAGAGTCCATAAGACCTCCCAGTCCTGGGGTCAGGCTCTTGCACAATTTGCGCTGACAGTTTTCCTAGACCTGTTCCACTCTCACAAGCTGCTGTCTAAAGCTGTTTTTCTTCTGCTCTGAATTCAGAAAATAAGGAGAGTGATCCATGCATACTTCCCCACTGGCCCCTCAGCAAAGGGAAATACCACCAGCCAAGAGGGAGCAACAGAAAAGACTAAGTGAAACAGGGTTCTTCTGGTTGTGTCTAGCTCTGGAGTTCTCTAGCTCTCTTCACCTTTTCACACCCTCTTGTCTGCATTCTTCTCCTTTGGCCCCCTACTGTCCCCTGTACCTTATCTCCCATTAGAAAAGTAAAACAAAAAAAAAAGGAAAGGTAAAGTAAAACAATGACCAGTTAGCTCATCTTGCAGAGTTAGGAGGGCTTGGGGGAAGGAGGTAACCCAGTACTGCCATCCCCTGGAGCCTGAGCCTAGTTCCAAAGTGGGATCTTTCTTAGTATAGTTGGGCAAAGATCAAGGGGTAATAAATTGGGGGCATCCCTTAGCTGTCTTAGGGATCCCATGCACATACTTCCCAGCATAGTAAGATTGCTCCACCATGACCCCATTCATTCCCCAAGAAACAGTCAGTGGGAAGAACAGCTTCAGTTCAGTCAATGTCTGTCCCTTCTGCTCCCTGGGGACCACGTAGCTCCCATCCCTCCTGCTCTCCCCACCCCTGCACATTCCTGCCTGACAGCTCTGGCTTGTACCTGCCTCACTGCTGTCCACCTTGTTTTAATCAAGTAGGGGGCAGGGAGATGGGCTGCTTGGCTGCACTGAGAGGGGCCAGGGGTTGGAGTGGTGGGAGGAAGTGGCCCAAGCCTCTGCTTAATGCTCCCGCTAAAGCACAGGGAGGAGGCTCTGGCCTCTGTGGTCTCTACAGTCCTAATGCCTCTCGGCAAGTAACCCCATTACCACCCCCCTCCCTCCTAAACAGAGACCTGTGCTGTCAACAACGGGGGCTGCGACAGTAAGTGCCACGATGCAGCAACAGGTGTCCACTGCAGCTGCCCTGTGGGCTTCATGCTGCAGCCAGACAGGAAGACCTGCAAAGGTAAGTAGGAGCTTTGAGACAGCAGGGACATGGAGACCTTTGAAAAAAGGCTGAGGTTGGGACTGAATATAAGATAAGGCCTAGGGTATCTCCTGTACACTTTTTCCATCTCTACACAAGGAGCACAGAAGTCCAGTCCCTTTGCACCCTCCACTCATCTCCTCCACCCCCATCCCACACACCCCCACCCCACAGGGCCCAGCCCTTTTAGTTAATGAGCATGCCATTCCCATCTGCCCAGGGGCTGGAAGGATATTTGAGCCCTGACTTTGTGCATTTGAGGTCACAGGTGTGTTCTGTAACCTTCTTAACCCACATTCCTCGGACCTTCTCAGGGGGCTCTGTAAATGTCCCACCCTCAGGTCTGGACTGGCTCAAGGGGACCAAGACTGCAGTTGGGGTCTGGTACATTATGGGGTTACTGGGTTCAGATGCTAGCTTTCTCCTAGAGGTCCCCAACCCTAGGCAAGTTACTTCCTAGAACATTCCTCCTTTGCTCTACAGAACTTGCCTTATAGGTGAATTGTGAGGATTAAATAAAATAGATATTTAGGAGCTTAGTACATTGGAAGCACATCGAGTTAGCTGTCATCACAGTATAATTGCCCATGCTATCTATTCTATCTCACTTTCTTTAATTAGCTGGCTCTAGGAGAAAATAAGGGAGAAGGAAGAGAAAAAGGGAAACAATATTGGAAATACTGATTCACCAAGTCTGTGTCCTCTGGTCACAAGGAGTGGGGACTGCAGAGTATAGTACTATGTTCCCTCTTTGTGTCTTTTGGCCCAGCAGTGGGAGAGAAAGGGGAGGGCAGGGGCAGCAGGTCAGCCAGCTGGGGGGGGGGGGATGTTTCCTGCTGGGAAGGACTGTTGACAGGTAGCTCAGAGTAAAGTGGAGGGCTGCCCTCCTTGCCCCCTCCCCAGGAGGGGTAAGTAGCCTGGGTCCTGTCTGCCACCAGCTTGGGGAACTTGACCTCAGGAAGGAAGCCGCTTGGCTGCCCCCCTTTCTTTCTCTAGTGCTGAAAGCTGCCTCGGGCCTGAGTCTCTCCAGACCTCTCCAGTCCAGCCCCCTGCCTGGCCCCGTCCTCCCCCTCATCAACCCAACCTTACTGGCTCTTCTGGAAGTCCTCCCCGTCTGGCCTCTTTCCCAGCTCCTCCCTGAGGCCTGGGCCTCTCCACTGAGTCCCTTTGACTCTCCACCTTCCTTGGCCCTATTTAGCACTCTTGATAGGGCTCTTGTGTCAGGACTTGGGGACAGGAAAAGGACACCAGCTTTCTTGGGAATGTCCATCAGCTGGACAGTAAGGGGCATAGCCTATCCTGAATATCAGGTGCCTACCTGCTCCCTCCTCCAGGCAATTCCTTGATGGCCTGAGCCTGGCTCTTGGGACTCAGGCCTATAAGAGAGGGTGTTACCAGTGGCCACAAATCCCCTGACCAGGAAGAAACAGCCAGGAGAGTGGCAGAGGAGTCAGAAGGGGCAGGCAGGGACCCTCCCTGGTTTTCCTTATCCCTGTGATAAAGGGATCTTAGCTCCTTGGTTTGTTTTTCCCTGTTCTTTGATACTATATTTCATTCCATTTTGTCCTTCTTTGCCAGACATAGACGAGTGCCGCCTGAACAATGGGGGCTGTGACCACATTTGTCGCAACACGGTGGGCAGCTTTGAATGCAGCTGCAAGAAAGGCTATAAGCTTCTCATCAATGAGAGGAACTGCCAGGGTGAGCAGACCCGTGCCAAAGTGAAAGCTTTAGGAGAGGTTCTTAGAGTAGGAGAGCTTCAAGGAGAGCAGCCCCTAAGGCATTCTGTAGATACTGTGTAGGGTCTGTAGGCATTGTCATGCTACACAATGGCAAATTATACCTTCCTTTTAGTAGACCAGCTCCACCCTGGAGCACACAGCATGGCAAGGAGGGAGGGACAGTTTTCACTTCAGTGCATGTCCTTGGCAGAAAGTGCCTACCTGGCCATACATGGTACCCAGATCCACTGGCAGCACACCAATCTTGCAGCTCCTGACTCCACGTAGAGGGGCAAGGAGAGTGGGCTAGCATAGCTCAATCACCAGTCGAGGGGCCAGTTCACAATTAGGATCTGTTTGAATGGGAGGAGGAAGAGAGAGCCAAGGCCCCTCACTTGGTCTTCACCTGAGCAAGGGTCAGTGCCCCAAAGCAGAATCTGCCACTTGAATCCTTGCTCTTCCAGATATAGATGAGTGTTCCTTTGACCGAACCTGTGACCACGTTTGTGTAAACACACCAGGAAGCTTCCAGTGCCTCTGCCATCGTGGCTACCTGCTGTACGGTGTCACCCACTGTGGAGGTAAGCCTGAGAGGGTGCAAACTCCAGCCAGCCCAGCCCCTCTCATCATCAAGTGGCCAAATCCCTGCCATGGCCATGGCTCTGGGCAGTGTCCAACACAAGTGCTATACCTGCATCTGCTGTGTGGAAGGACTAGGACAGCCTCTGAAGGTCACTTGGGAGACAGGGCACTAGGGAATAGCAGTCTCCAAAATGCTTGTCTGTCATTCTGTCACTGTCCCCAGAACCCCACAGCCAAACCACAGCCCTACTGGCAAGCAGCACAGGAGACATTAAAAAGCTGTCAGCTTGGGCTGGAGAGATAGCTCAGTGGACTAAGTGCCTGATTTGGCAAGTGCAGGGACCAGGGTTCAATCCCTGGCACCACAAGTTGGGCTGGCCCTGCCCCTGGGGTGTGAAGAGCCGGTGACTTGAGTCCAGGCATGGTGGCGCACACCTGTAATCCTAGCCCTGGGGAGGCTGAAAACAGGAGGATCACTATGAGTACAAGCTATGTAGTGAGACCCTGTACCAAATACATAAAATGAAAATAAATAAATAAAAAATAAAAAACTGTCAGCTTGACCTCTTCTTAATAGTTCCTTATACTAGAGACAGAGATAAGAGGAGGTTTGAGCTCTTCACAGGCCAGGGAACACTTTAGGGTTTTTGTTGTTGTTGTTGTTGTTGTTGTTGTGAGAATATTTAACATAACTATCCTCTTAAATTTTTAAATGTCCATTGCACAGTATTGTTAGTTATACCCATACTGTTGTACAGATCCCTAGAACCTACCATCTTGCCTAACTCAAGGTGCCTTGAACTGCCTGGTGCTGGCGCTGGTCCCACCGTTGTTTTCTGTCTGCCTTCTCCTTCCCCCAGATGTGGATGAGTGCAGCATCAATAGGGGAGGCTGCCGCTTTGGCTGCATCAACACTCCTGGCAGCTACCAGTGTACTTGCCCCTCAGGGCAGGGCCGGCTGCACTGGAACGGCAAAGACTGCACAGGTGCGCGGCGCTCTCTGCTGGCCAGATCTGGCACTGCAGCTTCAGGGGGGTGCACAATGGGGTCCTCAAGAGCAGAGCACGGGGTAGGGAGTATGAGGGAGAAACAGGCAGAGAATGCAGCCGCTGGAGTTAGAGGTGCGGCTCTCCTGGTAAATATTCCCTTCTTTAGTCGCCATGGTACAATAGTTGTGCATGTAGTTGATTTTCTTTCTGCATATTCACCAACTGAGGGAGAGAGTGGGAGGGGACTGCACCTGTGTCCTCAGGCCTCTCTCCCCTTCCTAGAGCCAGCGAAGTGTCAGGGCAGCCCTGGTGCCTCGAAAGCCATGCTCAGCTGCAACCGATCTGGCAAGAAGGATACCTGTGCCCTGACCTGCCCCTCACGAGCCCGATTTCTGCCAGGTACATGGGAGGGTGGTGCTGGAGGGCTGGGGGCTATTCAACAGCACCTCTGATTCCTCAGGACACCCAGCCAAGGGGGACTTTTTTTTTTTTTTTTTTTTTTTTTTTTTTTTGCGGAACCAGGGACTGAATTCAGGCCTTTGCGCTTGCCAGGCAAGCGTTTATTCTACTGAGCCATCTCCCCGGCCTCAGCCAAGGGGGATTGGGAGGGGAAGGGCAGAGCAGTGACAGGCCCCTTCTCTCAGAATCTGAGAATGGCTTCACGGTGAGCTGTGGCACCCCCAGCCCTAGGGCTGCTGCCACCCGAGCCAGCCACCCTGGAAACAGCACCAGCTCCAGCCACTGCCATGGTGAGTACCAGCCCAGAAGCCCTGTTTCCAGCCTCTTCTACACTAATCCTTCATTTCACTTTATCATGAATCCCTGGGGCTTTACTCTTTCCTGGGTCTCTTCCATTGCTCCATAATTTTCCAGCCCAGCTGCCCCCTTCCCCTATCCTCACCACCTGGTCCCCTGGGCTTCCCTAACCCCACTTTCCAGCCCAGCCCCACAACACCCTCGAAGCAGCTCTCACCCAGGGCCCATGCTGTGCTGAGCTTCTGCCATCCCTCTAGAGGCTGCAGTGCTATTGGTTAAACAGCGGGCCTCCTTCAAGGTCAAGGATGCCAAGTGTCGTTTGCACCTGCGGAACAAAGGCAAACTGGAAGAAGCCAGCAGAACCCCAGGGCCAGGTCTGGACTGGGGGCCTCACTGCTGTGGGCTACCTGACTGCCAAATCCTCCCTACCCACCAGCTCCTCTGCTTAGTGAGATTTCCTCCAGAGACTTTCTAGTCCCCGAACTCCATTTGGAAAAGGGAAGAGCAGATGAAGGTATAGGGCCCAAGGAAGCCCCAGGAGATTCTTTCAATTGTCTAATTAGTGTTCTGAACTAAAGAGGGTAGGGAGCTAGAATCAGAGATGTGGTAAGGTTGGCTTGGGTAGCTAGGAGGGAGGAACTTTCCCTGTCCCTAGTGGTACCCCTGAGTTAACAAGGCCCCTTTTTTTCAGGTACTGCCCCCTGTTCTGACTGCCAGGTCACCTTCATCCACCTCAAGTGTGACTCCTCTCGGAAGGGCAAGGGCCGGCGGGCCCGGACCCCTCCAGGCAAGGAGGTCACCCGGCTTTCTCTGGAACTGGAAGCAGAGGTCAGAGCTGAAGAAACCACAGGTGGGACTGGGGATACTGCCAGATGGAAGGCCAAAAGGGAGGGAAGTAATGGAGAAACCACAGGTTGCAGAGCCTAAGAAAAGGGCAGAGCCCCTGCAAGGGCTCGATGCTGTGTAGTGCAAGCCCAAGAACCTGTCCCCTTGCCTCCCACCTTTGCTCCCTGTCTTATGTTCACACCACTCTCTCTTCTTCCCAATGCATGCCACCATCCACCAGCGGGTTGTGGGCTGCCCTGCCTACGACAGCGGATGGAACGGCGACTCAAAGGATCCCTGAAGATGCTCAGAAAGTCCATCAACCAAGACCGCTTCCTGCTGCGCCTGGCTGGCCTTGACTACGAGCTGGCCCACAAGCCGGGCCTGGGAGCTGGGGAGCGAGCGGAGCCAGTGGAGGTCTGCAGGCCTGGGCAGCACCGTGCTGGGGCCAAGTGTGGTAAGGGAGCTTGCTGGGGAGCAGAGGAGTGGGGAAGGCCCAGCTCAGGCCTGGCTTAGAGCAGGACCACCTTATGGCCTCAGCTGCATTTCTCAAATTATGAGACAGCCAAGACCTTCCTGCCTGCTGTCCTCCCTTCTGTCGTCTGGGGGTGAAATCTAGGATATCAGGCAGGGGCAGCAACTCTCCTGTACGCAGACAACCTCTCTGCCCTTACTGAATCAGGGACAAAAAAAGAGGTCCTCCCTGGATCTGGGGGAGTGGGAAGGGGAGTCCTAGGCCGGGGTGGTGGGAAATGGGGGTGGGTGGCTAGCACGGCCGACTCTCCCTCAGTCAGCTGCCCGCAGGGAACGTATTACCACGGCCAGACGGAGCAGTGTGTGCCATGCCCATCGGGCACCTTCCAGGAGAGAGAAGGGCAGCTCTCCTGCGACCTTTGCCCTGGGAGTGATGCCCAAGGGCCTCTTGGAGCCACCAACATCACCACATGTGCAGGTGCCAGGGGAACAAATAATACAGAATGGGGTAGGGTGGGCACTGGGATGCCCATGGGCATGGGATTTTCCAAAGGGCAGGCCCAGGCTCCAGGCCACTCCTAGTTGACATCCTGTTTGTATGCTTCTGTCCCAAGACTGGGTGACCCTATGGGGGTGATTCAGGACGATCCCCATCAGAGTTGCACCCTTGGTTCATTGCAGGTCAGTGCCCACCTGGTCAGCACTCTGTAGATGGGTTTAAGCCCTGCCAGCCATGTCCACGTGGCACTTATCAGCCCGAAGCAGGACGGACCTTGTGTTTCCCATGTGGTGGAGGCCTCACTACCAAGCATGAGGGGGCCATCTCCTTCCAAGACTGTGACACCAAAGGTGACTGAATACCCCACTAGGGGATTTACTTACCCCAACTGCTTTAAAAAACAAAAAAGCCCAAAAACACCTCTCCAAGTCCCCAGAGGAAGCTGAGTATGTTCCTACCATCTGCTCCAAAGTGAGAAAGGCCTAGCTGCCTAACCAATCACACCATCCTGCTCCCAGGACCACCTAGGCCTAAACATGGAAATCATGAATTAAGAGTCCCACTTTGCCCCTGCTTTGGAAAACTGGCATCATATTCCCCTCCATACTCTAAGGGAGTTTCCATATTGGTTCAGCCATGTGCTTGGTGCTTAAAAGAAAAAGATTGGCACCATGGACAGCCACTCTGTGAAGTTTATTTTTCCTGAGCTTAAGCATGACTGAGAGAGGCTGGGGCCCTGGAAAGAACTTCGGAGTCTTGAGTCCCAATTGATGAACATGCCCCAGCATATCTGCCTGCCAGCTCCCTTGATTCCTGCTTTTCCCCCCTTTGCCTACAGTCCAGTGTTCCCCAGGGCATTACTACAACACCAGCATCCATCGCTGTATCCGCTGTGCCATGGGCTCCTACCAGCCCGACTTTCGTCAGAACTTCTGCACCCGCTGTCCAGGAAACACAAGCACCGACTTTGATGGTTCCACCAGTGTGACCCAGTGCAAGAGTATGTGGCAGGCCAAGCTGTGGGAAAGGGGGTAGAAACCTGGGAGCAACAGAAGAAAGGGGAGTGGCAAACTCAGGAAGCAGGGAGAATGGGCCAGAAAGTCCCACTGTCTACCTCTCCACCCCACTCAATCTCCAGGCCAGTTGATAGGCCGAGCCCTGGAGTACCCTTTCTCCAGAGACAGGTAATGGGGAGTTAGAGATGGGAAGTAAGAAGAGAAGGTACTAAAAGGACAGGAAGGAAGGTGGACTCAGAATTTAGAGTAGATGATGAACGAGGATGGTGGCTGTCAGGCGTCTGATCTCCAACTTCAGAACTCCTCCACATCCCCAACCTGGTTCCCCACTAACTTTCCTTTTCTCTTTTTTTCTTGCTCTGTCCCTGGGGCTTGGCTGCAGATCGTCAGTGTGGTGGGGAGCTAGGTGAGTTCACTGGCTATATCGAGTCCCCCAACTACCCAGGCAACTACCCAGCTGGTGTGGAGTGCATCTGGAACATCAACCCCCCACCCAAACGCAAGATCCTTATCGTGGTACCTGAGATCTTCCTGCCATCTGAGGATGAATGTGGGGACGTCCTCGTCATGAGAAAGAACTGTGGGTGGCTGCAGCGCTGATCCAGGGAAGGGTAGTCGGAATCTGGCTGGGAGGGAGAGCTTGGTACAGGAAGAGAGGGAGCAGAGAAGTTGGGGGAGCTGAGGAGGAGGGAGGCTAACAGGAAACAACTCCAATAATGTTACACCTATCACTCTCTAATTGTACCACTTTGCCAATTCACTCATTAAATGTCAGATTTCATACACAGTGTGAGGGCCCTGACATCACAGAAGGCTTTCAGAATAAACCCACGAATAGTGGGAGGGTTTGGGGGCAAGCATGTGTTTGGAGGGAGGAGTCTGGGTCAGAGTGATTCCCCCACCCCACTCCACATCCCTTTTCCTGGCAGGGTTTGGGTGGTCTGCCCAGCTGCCTTCCTGACCTGCTGCTTTCCTCGCCAGCATCTCCATCTTCCATTACCACTTACGAGACCTGCCAGACCTATGAGCGCCCAATCGCTTTCACGGCCCGGTCCAGGAAGCTCTGGATTAACTTCAAGACCAGCGAGGCCAACAGTGCCCGAGGTTTTCAGATTCCCTATGTGACCTATGATGGTGAGCAAGGGCAGAAGAGCTGGGGAAGTGGGTAAGGAAGGGGGGGCTCAGGGGACTTGGGAAGGAGCTGGGAAGCAGGAACAACTCTGACCCTTAACATTGCCCCACCTTGTTTGACTTTGCAGAGGACTATGAGCAACTGGTAGAAGATATTGTGCGGGATGGCCGGCTCTACGCCTCTGAAAACCACCAGGAGATCTTGAAGGCAAGTGAATACTCACAACCAGGACAGCTAACGTTAATGAGCGTGTGATGGTGAAGATTGATTTCTAAGTGCCAGTGTGACTATTCTTATGTGATACACGCAGAAGCTCTAGGAGTTGTGTGCTTTCGTCATTCCAGATGAGAAAACTGAAGCAAAGTTAAAAAACTTGCCTCATGGTAAAGCTAGGATTTGAGCCCAACCCATCTGACTACAGTGTCACCCTTACCAGATGAGCCTGTAGGCACAAGATGGACAGGAAGGGAAAGTGAGGTACCAGGGAACTGAAAGAACAGAATGATGCTCTTGGCAAAGTCCCTTCTATCCCTTGTTCTCTCCCCAGGCCACAGAGACGCAGCGCACTAGTAAAGCTGTCTCAGGATCGATTCAGACAGATGTCTTTTCAACTTTGCTGTACAGAGCTACAGCCATGTGAATGCTAGATATACACCCTACCAACAGCCTCTGAAAATCTGTTTTTATTTATTTATCAGTGTTTTTGAGACAGGATCTCACTATGTAGTCCAGGCTGGCCTTGAACTCACTTGTGTAACCTAGGATGGCCTTGAATTCATGGCAGTCCTCCTGCCTCAGCCTGCTGAATGCTGGGATTACAGGTATGCACCACTGCAACCAGATTAGATAACTTTTAAAGGAAAGGAGAGCGAGGCATGGTGGCACATGCCTGAAGTCCCAGCAGTTGGGAGGCTAAGGCAAGAGGATCACTATGAGTTCAAGGCCAGCATGGGCTACACAGTAAGACCCTGGGTCAAAAATAAATAAACAGGGCAGGGAGATGGCTCAGTAGAATAAGCACTTCCCTGGCAAGTGCAAGGGCCTGAGTTCAATCTCCGGTTCACAAAAAAATAAAATAAAATAAATAAATAAACAAAATATTTTTAATATTGAATAAACTATACACTCTGGGTCTGTGGATCCCAGTTTGAGAAAATCCTACTTAAGAAACTACACTTATAGTCAGAATTATCCTTCATAAATTACCACTGCAAAAAAAATCCATTTTTATTATTAGTGATAATTTATATATTATCAACATAAAATCCAAGATGACAAAAGTCTCCTAGAGGGCTGGGGAGATAGCTCGGTGGTCTAAGTGCCTGCCTGGCAAGTGCAGGGGCGCACGTTTTATCCTCGGTCTGCTGCCGCAGGTGCACTGTGTGGGCCACCAAAACCTGGCATGGTGGTGCACACCTGTCATCCCAGCACTGGTGAGGCTGAAATAGGAGCATCACTACCAGTCCCAGCTGCATAGTGAGGCCCTGCAGCAAATAAATATTTTTAAAAATCTCCTAGAACCTCCAGACTTCAAAGAACATAATTCTAGCAATACTTTTCACACTTTTTAAACATTTGAATAATTATTTCAAATAAAAAATACCCTGGAACTCTAATACATAAAGTAGTACAGCTGTTCTGATTACAGGAGGGGTGTGAGGCTGGGAACCTCACCTTCTATCTTAGAAATCTTCAGATGCAGTGGAAAAAGTCCCAGCCTAGAAGCCAGGAGGGCTGAGTTTTAATGTATGGTACCTGCACTCCACACACCATGCTGCTGTGATAGAGAAGAGGAAAGGCCCTGGAGGAGGTCAGAAGGTGCTAAGGATCATGAGAGAGTTTAGCATGTCTGAAAGCTCAAGAAGCCCAGTGTGGGCCCACAGGGGAAGGGAGAGCGGAGGGGCAGAGCAGGGCAGAGGTCCCATGCAACCAAGTGTGCTGTCCAAGGGATGTGGGTCTTACTCTGAGATAAAAGAAAGAAGAGGCAGCAGGTGTGGCTCCGCAATAGAGTGGATGCTCTAATCCCTAGCACTGCAAAGAAAAAACCTTACCCAGGACCCATGGCACATTCCTGGATCCTAGCTACTTAGGAGGTTAAGTGGAGAGAATGGTATAAGCTGAGAATTTTGAGACCTTGTCCCAAAAAATCAAACAGGAAAAAGGTGAGCTAATTAAACATCCCAAAAAAATCACTCTGGCTGCTGTAGGGAGAGCAGCCTGCAGAGGGTCAAGGGTAGAAGCAGAGAGCCTGGCCAGGCTATTCCAACACACCAGTGAGGGATGGCGGTCAGCAGGATCTGCTGCAGTTGTGAACGAGAGCCAGGGGTCACAGATGGCTCCAAGATGGGCTAGGCAGTAGAAGGGAGTAGAAGGCAGTAGAAGGCTGCAGCTGCCCTGGATTGTGGAATTCTAAAGGAGGACCAGATGAGAAGGATGGGAGTCCAGAGTTCAACTCTGGGCATATGCAGTGTGAGAGGCTACTGAACAGCAAGGGGATGCTGGGGCAGGCAGGTGTCCCTCCTTCCCGCTGTGATGCAGAGGATGACACTGCCACTTGCCATCTCCCGCAGGACAAGAAGCTCATCAAGGCCTTCTTTGAGGTGCTGGCCCACCCCCAGAACTACTTCAAGTACACAGAAAAACACAAGGAAATGCTACCAAAGTCCTTCATCAAGCTGCTCCGTTCCAAAGTGTCCAGCTTCCTGAGGCCCTACAAATAGTGCCCATGTGCTTGGAGACCCAGCTTCCAGAGCCTTTGAACTCCTTAGCCCTCAGAGCTGGCAGCCCCTACCCTCAGACAAGGAACAAGTCCCCGCTTTCTTTCTGGAGGAAAAATATCATTACACAGACCAGGCACCACTCTCCCTTTCTGTCTTTCTAATTTCTTATCTCTGTCTCTGTCTCTGTCTGTCTGTCTCTGTCTGTCTGTCTGTCTGTCTCTCTCTGTCTGTCTCTCTGTCTCTCTCTCTACCTATTTCCTATGTGCTTCCCAGAAAAGCCATTCTGTCCTGTTTCTACTCCCCTGAGGAGTGAAGAGACAGAACCACCCTCTCCCTTGCCCATCTCTCCAGCTCACATCTCTGCCCCATCAGTTTGAAAGGCTACTTGAGGCACATGTAGGAAGTGGGCTTCTGCTATTATAGGGTTGTGCCTTGCTAGTAAGGAGCTGAAAGGTCTCCTGGCTGTGCTCCCCAGAGTGACTGACAGTCTAGGGTTCTGCCACAGAAGCCTTTAACTTACTGGCTTAATGCCAGCACTGTTCTGCTGAGGCAATGATTTGAGCCCCGGGCTGCCCACACTGCTGGCTTTCTCATCTATATAACTCCTCGCTTTCCTCCCCTACACATCTGCCTGGGGTAGACTCCATAAGGGTTCACAGATGGCCCACACCACTGGGCTAGTGGACACTGTTCAATGAGGAGCAAACATTACCATGCATTGCTGTGGCTCCCTGAAAGGATAGCTCTGCAGGACAGGAAACAGGTTCTAAAGCATTGCAGAAAAAAGAAAAGGCATCATCTAAAGAACTGAACTACAGAACAGTTAGAAGCCAGCCTCAAACACTAATCCCTTCTCTTGCCCCCCTGGCCCAGCCATGCCCTCACCCCATCCCAGTGCTCCCTGGGGGAGCCCTACTCCCCTTGCTAACAAACCTGGCTATTGACCACAGCCAGCCTGGGCCTCAGCCTACAGTCATCTTTCCCTTGACATCTTAGGTGGCTTGTGGGTACAGGTCAGCCTGGAGCCACCTACCTCTGGCCTCAGGCTGTGGGCAGCAAGAGGAATGTGTGCACTTGGCAAGCCTCCTGCCCAGCCCACCCTGTCCACATCTAATAAGTGCAATCATTTTGAGTCTTTCTATGTTGTCTAGAGGGAGGGGTTTTTTTTTGTTTCCTTTTTCTCTATTAGAACAACCCTATTTATAGCTTCCTAAGAGAGAAGAGTGTATGTATAGAGTGAAAGAATATCAGAATCTCATGAACCCCAAGTACTGAAGCATCCAGTCTGTCTGTTGCATCTGTGGCCCCTTGACTGCTAGGGCCCTTGGCTGGGCCAACCCAGGGCTATGACTCAGAGCACCTGACATGTAGGACAGTGATTTCTGGGGACTTTATGGAGCAAGAAGGAGAGGGAAGTGTTTGCTAAACAATCCTGCTGTTGCAATCCCTCTCCATGGATTCAGCATGAACCTCATGATGACAGAGGCTGGTGAACTTGACCAGTTATTCTTCACTTCAAGGAGGGAAAAACCTCCACCTTTTCCCTATCTTCATCATGTTTTCCCCAGTGTGCACATGGAAGAGATCTGAGGCCACAGCAAGACTTCAGGAGCCAAGAGTGGGACATCTGTCCAGGAACGAAGCTGGTCAAGGGACCAAATGTTTGCCTGACCTTGGCCATTTCCTTCAGTTAGCTTCACACCTGCCTTAACTGCTGTTTTTCACAAGAAGAATCAAGCCTAAGCCTAAGTCCTGCAATTCTCCACCCTAACCTAATTGCTGCCTATAAAATTCTTTTCCATTTGCTCCTTCTAGTTCTGTGGAGCTGTAGTCCTATTTAAAGGCTACCAGCTGACTCCTCAGGTCCAGTTCTAGGTGATTCTCCAAGACTACTGCTCCCCCAGGAGATTCAACACTAAATAAAGGAACTTGAGATCACCTCTGGCCTCAGGCTGTGGGCAGCAGCCTTGGCCAATCACATTCATCAGCCAAAACAAGCCTTAGCAGTGGGTAGAAGATGGCACAGCTAGGCCCCGACATCTGGGAATGGAGGGTCTGCTACCTTTGTCTCTCTTGGTCGCAGAGGGCTGCCATAAAGATACTAAGTGGCTGCATCCAGCAAAAGAAATGGCCACTTCATGGCAACTCTTGCACTGCTAAGAAGTGCTGTGAAAACTGCTTGCACACTTTGACCATCTTAACTCCTTACCAGAAACTAGGATAACTTTCTGATTCCTCCCTTCCATTTTGCATCTTTGTTAGGAACCCAAAATAGAGGTGCCTCTCAAGTCATGCCTCTCATGGGCTGGCTTCTCCTTGCTCCCTTCTTTTCCTGGTACACCACACAGAGATACACTTCCTCCAGTCACTTATTTCATGGGTTATAGGGTCTGAAAATGAACTTCACAGTATGGAACCTATAGAGTACTAGGTTTTATAATATCAAGTCAGATCTTATTGAGCAGGTGAAGATCTGCTATTGTGCACCACATTTAAGTCATCCAAGTTATGGATTAAGAATATAGGCAAAGCTGCTCTGAAATACCTGGGACATCACACTAGGGGTTACATGGACAAAGAGTCAATACTCAGGGACTCTCTAGGGATGTACAGTTCAGACTACAGTTTTCACCAGTGGAGGGAAATGGGAAGGAAAAAAGAAAAAAAAAATATATATATATATATCCTTCATGAACTGACCCAGAGGCCTCCCTACAGAATTGGGTGTTTGTGGAGCCACAGAACTGTGAGCTCCCATTCATCTTGGTACCAAACCTGCCCTGAACTGAGTTGGAATAGAAAACCATTTCCTCAAGAGCCCCAAACATCAAGTGGTGCAGAAAGGCACTTATATCCTTAGTGGCACTGCAACTCTTTACTTCTCTTTTTGTATCATCAGACCAGGCCATCTGAATCAGCGCTTCCCTGGCAATTGCAAGGGCCTGAGTTCAATCCCCGGTTCCAAAATAAATAAATAAATGTCAGAGAATGTTACAGAGCTTTCAGATGTTTGTATTTGCTGTGTTACCTCAATATGACAGCCTCAAACTAGAGAAATAGAACATATAACTAGCCATCAGCAGAAAACGATACCTGCCTAGTTTCTTTCTTAAGCACAGCAAGAGAAAAGTGGAAGCAAATGCTGAGTCTCTTTCAATTTGACCTATTTCAAAGGTAGCACACCCTGTCCTTGGGCCATTTTTTGAACTAGGAATTCCTTAAGAAAATACACAAGGGGCCAGGGAGATGGCTCAGTGGAAGAAGTGCTTCCCTGGCAAGCAGCACAAGGGCCTGAGTTCAATCCCCAATTCCACCCCAAAAAAAAAAAAAAAGAAAAAAAAGAAAAAGAAAAGAAAGAAAAAAGAAAATACACAATTAGAGGAAAATAGAACTTGTACTATAACCAGCTTATCTAGGCAACACAGACTATAGCAATTTGGACAAACTAAAAACTTTATTCTTCTGTATGAGTTGAACTGAAGTTTCAGAGAATAATATCACCATGTGGGAGCCTTTTTTTTTTTTAATTGCAGAAGAAATCTCAAAAAACTGTTTATATCTATCTGCCTTCCACTGCTACCAATACAGTAAACCTCCTACACAACCAACAGTAAACAGCAAATGATGCAGTTCAAAGAGTATTTTGCACTTGGGGAAAATATGTATCTGAACTTGTAAAAAGAAATGTTTGGATTTTGTATTGTCTTTTTTATTATTATTATTATTATTAAAATACTAAGTGAAACCCTTCAGCCTGGCATCTTTTCTTCTCAGTGGCTTATCCTACAGCCAGGAAAAGCCTAATGGATAAAGTATCTTCTGGCTTCCAGATAAAACTTAGGAAAAAAAAAAAACTTACCCACAACTTTTTTTAGTGATTCATTTTATTCCTAATGATTTTAGAATTTGAAAGGGCTGATCTCTTTGGCTACCTTTAAAAGCTGTTTTAAGAATCACTTTCTGAAAAACAAAAAATCACTTTCTAAGATGAGTAAGGAAATTTAAACTATTGTTCCTCCCCACCACAGTATAATTCCTAAAAGCTGGCCAGGCCATAGGTGGCTCAGATATTTCGTTGGTTAAGATGTCCCACCTCTAGCACTGAGAGTTATCTCATGGTATTCCTTTTATGGAATATATTCTTGGCCACCAAAGAGAATATAGATCACCTAGCCACTACCATCCTCACTATGCCTACAGAGCATAGGAAAGCAATCTTTAATCTTTTATAAATGAACTGCCCCAATTTCTAATATCAGAGATGATAGGCAAGTTAATTAATGCAATTATATAAATCACTGAAATGAAATCTTATCAGACCTAATATCCACATTATATATACATTTTAAGAGTATGACTTGCGGAACAAGGAAAAAATTTATCTGATCAGAAAATACATTGTGCTGACCTACCAGAACCTTGAAGTTCCCCTTAGGAGCACATTTATTCCACAGTTACCAATCTCTTATGTGCCAGAAAGTGCACCTGTGGCTATCATAGCTTGAAGACAATAGCTCTGTTCAAGACCCACACTATAACTTTCTGATTGTAACTGATGGTCCCATAACATCTCAACAGCGGGAGCAATCCAGCTATACTCAGCTTATTTTCTTTTTTTTTTTTTATACTCAGCTTTTGTCATCTTTTAAAATGTTTAATTCTGCCTCCTACTAGAAAAGAATAAAATTTTTCGCTACCCTCTCAGCCCCATTGTTTCTTATCAAATCTTTTTTTTAAAAAACATAAGAGGGCTGGTGAGATGGCTCAGTGGTCTAAAGCACCTACTTAGAACAAGCTTTAGCAAAAACCCAGGGACCACAGTTCGATCCCCCAGCACCACATGCCAGCCAGCCCGCCCCCTGGTGGGCTGAGCTGGACACACACACACACACACACACACACACACACACACAAATAAATAAATAAAATTTAAAAAAAAACCATAAGAAAGTTTAATCATGAAGTATATCAAAATTATTGGAGTTAGTCCCAATTTTTTAAGACAAGATTCTTTTTTCATTGTTCCCAAAAGTTGAACATTAGTTTGACAAAAGCAGGACCATCTGTTTACCGAGGGAATAATATGCCTTTTATCTCATTTCTCAAAAGGGATAGTTTTAGCTATATACTACAAGGCACTATCTTGTTTTCATCATTTATGCAAATATTAGCTCTATGTAATTTTAATCTTGACGGTTTTTAGTAATCTATTTTACATGAAACTGTCTCATTGCTATTTGTTTCTCAATAAAATTATGGGGAACAGCTAATCTATTTTACAAACTACAGTTGATAATTTGTTTCCCAGTGATTTTTATATGTTCTTCAAGATGAATATTAACATTTTTATTCAAGTTAAAGAATAAAGTGAGACTCCCCCGCCCCCCTTTTTCCAGTACCAGGGATCAAACTCAGGACTTTGTACTTGCCAGGCAGGTACTTAAGCTGCTGAGCTATATCCCTGGTCCCAAAGTCAGACTTTGACAGTAAGTCTGATTTGGTTTAAAAGGAAGACCTGGCTTGCCAATTCCACAAATGGTATATGTTTTCTATACAGTAATGGTCTGAATCTGCACTTCAAAATTTTAACCAAAAGATCTTGAAAATAAAATGAAATAAAATGAATAAATGAAATAAAAGAATTTTATCAAAAAAGTGAAAAGGTTATATTGGTTGGCATGGTCATGAATGCTTTTAATTCCAGCACTCTGGGATTAAAAATTTAATGCAGTCTGGGCAACTCAGCAATTTAGCAAGAACCTGTCTCAATTTTTTTTTCACCTGCCAACAGCTGTTTATTTTGTATAGACACACACAGCTCACACAATGCTGTCTGCATTGGATGCATTGGCCAGTCTCAAAATTTAAAAAAAATAAAAAAGTTTTGGATGTAGCTCAGTGCAAAAGCCTTGAGTTCAATACCCAGCACCAAAGAAAAAGAAAAAAAAAAAAAAAGAAAAGAAAGAAAGAAAAAGAAAAGAAAAGTTGGCAAAGAAGTATGATACACAGTATCTCTTTTAACAAACTATCTTAAAAAAAAAAAAAAAAAAAAAAACTATCTCACCAGGCCCAGCTCCTGCTTGGCAAATGTAAGGGCCTGAGTTTGATTCCCAGTACCAAAAAAGCCCAAAACAAAACAAAATTCTTTCCATCTCTTAGTGAAAAGGTAACAGGTAATATCATTTTTCATAAAACTAAAACTGAGATTCAAATGACTACTATATTCTTTTGCAAGTGGTTTCCAATTCTTTGTTTTTAATAAAAGAAAAGAATAATCTCTCTGACAGTATTTCATTCTCTTTTTTTGGCGGAACCGGGGATTGAACTCAGGCCCTTGCACTTGCCAGAGAAGCGCTTATTCCACTGAGCCATCTCCCCGGCCCAGTATTTCATAATAGAGCACACTGTAACTATTGGAAGTTACAATGTAAACCAACACTGTAACTACATAATTTGGAAGTTCAAAGATTTAAAGAATACTATTGTAAAATTTATCTTTCTTTCCTAATTATGGTGATCAAGGTTTCTGAATGCTCAAGTCTATAGAACTGCTTAAATCCTGTAGAAAACTGGACGTATATTTTATCTACTTCTAATGTTAAGTAATATTCATTAAACTAACCTCTTTAGGATTCACAAGTTATAAAAATGTGTGATATATTTATGTTGCTTAGTAAATCACATACCAATAATTACAGGAAGCTGACGAATTAGGAATTTGAGAAGAAAGAGAATCTGTAAAATTTATATTAAAGAAGAGTTTGTCCAAGTCCAGTATTTGAAAATGTTTAAAATATATTTCATTTAAAAATTTTAGGAGGGGAAAAGAGGAAAAGGGGATTTAAAAAAATCAAGGTATGCTATGCACCTGTACCAACTCCCCAGGAGGAATGTCATCTTTATACGCTACAAACATGTACTAATTAAAATATAAAATTATTTTAAAAATAGTTTTAGGTGGCCATTGTGGTGCACAGTTGTAATCCCAGCACTCTGGGAGGTTGAATAGGAAGGACCACCAAATTCGAGGGCAACTTAGAGGCTTTAGTGAGACCTTGTCTCAAAATTAAAAAATAGTGGGCTGGAGAGATTGTTCGGCTGGCAAGCGCAAGTGCCTGAGTTTGATCCCCTGTACCGCATGCTGCGCTGGCCCCATCGTGCTGGCCACCAAAATTGGGCGTGGTGGTGCACACCTGTAATCCCAGCGCTGGGAAAGCTGACACAGGAGGATCATTCTGAGTCTGAACTGTGTAGTGAGACCCTGTAACAAATAAATATTTTTAAAATAATAAAATAAAACAAAATGAAAATTAAAAAGGGCTGGGAACACATCTGGGGAATGCTCTGGGTCCAATCCCCACCAAAGCTGGGGGGGGGGGAATGCTGGGCACCCTGACACACTTGTAATGCTGGTGACTCCAGTGTCAGTTGCTCGAGATACTGTCTGAAAATCTGTATGTTTGAACAAAAGGTCTGGAGATGTAGCTTAGCACACGGCCCTGGTTTAATCCCCACCGCTGTCAAAAATATAAAAATAAATTTCGGCGAGGGAGGGGGTGGAGGATACAAGAGTTGAAGTCTGAAAGGATCGCGAGGGGAAGTTTCTCGCTTCATTCCTCCAGGCACACAGTTCCTTTATTTTATTTTATTTATTTATCTATTTATCTATTTATTTATTTTTTCTTTTTGCGAAACCGGACATTACGCTCAGGCCCTCGCGCTTGCCAGGGAAGCGTTTATTCCACTGAGCCATCTCCCCGGCCCAAGTTCCTTTATTCCTTCTAAATTTTTCATGCTTTGACAGGGTCTTGCTACGTCGCTAGGACTCAACTGCCCCGACCTGACTCGAATTTGTGATCTCCTGCCTCAGGCTCACCTGAGTGCTGACACTCCAGCGTGTGTCACTGTGCTCGCTCGGTTCGGTTCAGTTTCCCTTTTAAGAAGCAATCTTAACTAGCTCTTCAGCGCTTTTTATTCGTT